CAGCTCGTGGATCTCAGGTTGCGGACGCTTCCAGGGGAACATGGTGGAGCTCGACTTTGCACGACCTTGGCCCCGTGCGACGGTGCGAGCAATATCAAGGAAGCGCGGAATCGAAAATTGACTCTGGAGATGCAAGCCACTTCGGGAGGAGCCGGAAACCCGCGTCGTACTTGTGTTCGATCACGTATAACCGCGACAAGGTGAAAGTCGCCTTGGTGTGGCCGTATCCGCACCTCTTTCCACGCATAATTATATACCTTCATAGAGCTAGAGTGTGTTAGCGGTGGCGCTTGGGACAGGGAGGAAAGCACTTGCCGTGTTCCTTTCTATCCCAGCAATGTAGTTATCGCAGAGCTTTCTTTCACCTCGACAATCGGCCGTGTCTGATGGGATGGTTGGAAGCATGCTAACACCAACGCCAACAACAACAAGCACCAGCTCTTGCGTCGTGTTGAGATGCTCGATAGCTATGGCAATCGCAGCGCAGTCCGACTAGTTCGTGCGCGCTTTCCGGATAGCGGGTAGGAGCTGGTAACGTATTACACCAGCGGCTCGCTCTTCAAGGTCCGGTATTTTCCTTGCCAGGCTGGACGCATGCGCGGCAAGGGCAAGTACAAAGCAACGTATATAAAGGAAAGACATGAACAAAATGATGAAAGGACACAACGGGAGCAGAGGCACGGCAGATCGAAAAGTCGGCATCCCCCTCCCTTTGCTCACGGTGCGCGCAACGGGTTGCCGCACTAGCCGTCATGATGAGAGCGACGCGAGCCAGGTCCCATGAGCCGGCCGCTCCGGAGCTTGACGCTCAGCGCCATCTTCACCACTCTCATCTTCCTCATCTCCCGGGCTCTCATGCGCTGTTGCTCCTTGTTGTAGAAGCGTGGCAAGGTGATATATATAGATAAAGAGACACTGCGAGGCAATGCGCTGATAGGCGCGTCGCCCGTCTCCCAATTTCTCCTCTCCCCTTTTTTCGGGTATGTCGAAGAGCGCCGCATCCGCCGGACCCGTGCCGCAATCAAAGAGGTATCCGTATAGAATGAGGCCGTCCTCGTCGTAATCGTCCGGGTCAGGCTCTCCATACGCGCTTTCCTCCCAGTCGTAGCTCGAGACAGCGAGCCTCAGGATGGAACCGAATGAACAGGCTCGTGCGCGATTATATATATATTCCTGGACCGTCGCGTTGGTGCGAGTCAGTGGACGATTCCCCAGCAATTGCCGAGAATCATCCCACTGTGCGAGCTCCTCCTCGGTCCAAGTCAAGACTACGGCAGTGTTGTCCCAGGCAGGCAGGTGGTCGCCGTGTGTTTGGGTGTCGTATATATACGCGATCAACTCACTTCAGCTTTGCATCTTCTCGGTGGAGAAGTCGAATCAAAGCCGGAAGTTGGTGGGCAGAAGGGCTTGTATCACTCGCTGAAAGGGAAGGTCTGGCGCGCTGCTCCCCCATACGTCCGGCGTGAACAGCGCCCCAACCACGGCACCGATCTCGTCGAAGGAGAGGGTAGAACGTCTCGAGAAAGAGTCCCACGTCGTGTAAGCGAATTTTGACTGTTGGGCGACGGATGACGTAAGTGATGAACTCGACAAGCGATCCTGGGTTGAGATACGCAAGCGATCGCCACGGCGGAAGGCGCGCCCTGGTCCTGCGAACGTGCCGCAGAAAGTAGACCCGACGGCAAGGATGGGTGGTCGAAGCCAGGGCCCGTTGACGTGGGCTCTTCCGCATGTATCAGCGCAGTCGACATCTCCTAGGTCCAGGCGTAGCTTCGTGGGTGGGCGGCAGGCCCGAGGTGATAAACGGAGAGTATCAATAAAGAAAAGACAAAACGCCCATCAAGGAGTACTTCCCTCCCACAGGCGAGCCTCAACACCAGACCAACAGGCCACAGCCAGATAGACCATCAATCGGCCCACCACATATACTGCGCTCCAAAAAATCAAAAAGAAAAGAAAAGAACAGCAGGTCGAATAGAAACAAGTACACAGAACAGAACAGAACAGAAAGGAAACGAGACAGCTCAAAGCCCTCATATATATCCTCTACCCCTCCTCATCTCCGTCCCTCACGATGGCTGCCTAATTCCACCACCTCAGTCTGCATGCACATACCCGCGGCATTTTCTCATATCGACCAAATTGGGCAGACACTCCAAACGGCGGTGAATATGAGAAAGTGGGACTACTGTGGTACAGGAACTTCGGTCTCAGGAAACAGCGGTCTGATGTGCAAACGCAGCAAACGGCCTTCTGCAGCCCGTGATGCATGTTGCCCGTTGCCGCTGTCTGTTGGTTCCGCAGCAGGACAGGAGCCTCTGCCGCATCCGCGTCCGCGTTTGTTTGCCTAGCCCGCATATAGCGGAACGGCACAGGACAGGACAGGGCGGTCGGTCAGATGCCTGATGACTCAATCTACTACCATCCCTCAACAACGTCAAGAGCGGGTACGCAATCCAGGGGCTCCGAGGGGTTACATGGAAAATCTTTCTCGTCATTAGAAATTATCTACCGACGAAACGCTCACAGGCGCAATTTTATCTGCAAATCCAAATCGTCAAGCATGTACAAAGAAGCGAGTGATCTAGCGCAGTCTTTACGCGAACCGCACGAGTGCGGGAATATCCGAATGGGGCCTCCGTTTGCCGCCCAGTGCATGGCACTGCCATGCTGGTATCTCTTGTGTGCCCGTACCCGAACCGAGCAGCATACCGCCAACCAAACAAAACAAAGAAAAGCTGAGATGGACCAACAAGTCCGAGGAACAAAATGAAAAGCGTGGGGGTCTGCGTCTGCACGAGACTGGAAATTTCGACGTGCGTCATGCATGTGACTGTGTGTCTTCGGGCCGATAGCAGCCGAACAGAATGACCGATGCGCGAACAAAAGAGTCAACCGAGTTGCGCGAGTGGCTTGAGGTGGTGGAGGCGTAGGAGCGTCTTTGGTGCCTTGCAGGCCGCACGATACGAGAGGAATGCGCCCGGGGGACACTATGCAGCGCGTTAGCCAGAGCTACGCGCTTAATCATTGAGTCCAAAGACACGCCTCAGCCCTTGGAACTTCTTCTTCTTGCCCGTGCGTCCGATAACGACCTCTTTGCCGGTCTTCGGATCGACGGCCGTTCTGGCCTCTGATTGGGACGAAAACCTCTTCGTAAGTAACGGGCGAAGCGAAGTTCTGCGGTGCGAAACGCCATCGGAGCTCTGGGGTCGCGGCTCCTCGCCAATCTTTGGCGGTTGAGGAAGCGGCCAGGAGTCGGAAGTAGAGCGGCCCCATTGCGGGGTACCAGACCGACGTTGAAGTTTTGGAGAACGGGTCGGCGCCTCACCGGTCTCGATATCTTTGTCTTCACCAATGGGCGTCAAGGGCCGATTGCGGTCACGATTCTGATGCTCCGGTGGCATTGGTATATCAGTAGCAGCACCATTGCGAGAATCCGCTTCGGCCTCGTCAAGATACGAAGCTGAAGCTTTCTTCTTGCCTAAACCAAAGAACCCTCGTTTCGTCTTGGCCTTCTTGCCCGCTTCAACTGTGGGCAGCTCCGTAGCGTGCTTGCTCTTGCGTAGCGATCCTGCAACGAAGTTTGAACTTTGACCATTGGTGGCTCCATTCGGGACCGCAGCTTTCCGCTTGTCGACGTTGTTCGCCTCTGAGGGTGGTGTGGGCTCGGTGTCGCTGGCCTCATCTTCTAGGTCGGTCGACTCGCGGTCTTCCTCGCCGGGTTTCTTTGGTATACCGCGAACGGGAGTCAGGCCGGAGGGCAACTCGAAGTCCTCATTCTCGTCATCCGAATCGGCGAAGCGGCTCTGGAACCGTCGCGGGCGGTCCTGCTCTTCCTCGTCGCTGGAATCTCCAAAACGGCTCGTGAAGCGTGGTTTGGAAGTCTCTGCTGGCGCAGCCTTAGACTTTTGTTTCTTGCCGAATGTAGGAATATTTGCCGCCTTCGTCTTGGGAGGCGACGCCTGAGAAGGTTGAGGAGGCGCCTCCGCTGCTGTTGTCTTTACGGGTCTGAATCTACGCACAGGAGACAACGACCTGATGCTGAATTTGGACGCGCTTAGCCCTGGGCTAGTCGGACGCTCAACAATCGGCGAAGATGGACGCATAGACTTTCGGAGAGTTGGCGGGGGTGATATGGCCTGTGGAGGAGAGATTGGCCGCATTGTCGGAGCCGGTCTCATTGTTGGCGCAGGACCTGACCTCATTGAGCCACGCATAGTGTATCGACCACCCTCCTTTCGGGCACCTCGTGGCCGTTGACGCTGGAAGCTACTGGCAGAGGCGTCAGAATCGCTATCGTAGGTATGTGCAGGGGCGATCGGCTTGCTGAGGATGAGACCCGATGCGCTCTGAGGTCGAGGCTTGGATGCACTGGTAGCGACAACTGCAGGTATATGCTTCTTTTGCAGAGCGCCTCGTGGCTTAGTTTCCATTAGGGGCATGCTATGACGGGACGCAGCCAATCCAGATGAAGCTTTACTCGCGCCAGCAAGGTCAACAGTACGCATTGTCTTTCGCAAATGCGGCTCCGTCGAAGGGGCAGCTGCCGCAGGAGCAGTATCACGTAGGCTCTTCTTCATCCGAGTGGCGGAAGATGGTGCGCCGTCCGAGGACGGGCTACCTCTCATAGCTTTCTTCATATGGGGCTCAGATGCCGCCGATGATTGCGCCGCCTTCACAGTCTTTTTCATAGCTGATTTGCGTGGTTGGGCGGGGGTTTGCGATGATGGTGCTGGTTGAGACGGCTTGGGAGCTTTCGTCACAGCGGGAGCAGGTGCTTGGCGTTCTGTGCTGAGCTTCGTAGGCGCTATCGGAGAGCCCACGGGTACCTTTCGTGTAGATACTTCAACAGGCGGTCTGGCTTCTGTTTGCTGCTTCCTTGAGTCGGTCACTCTGCCCCAGTGCTGCTGTGCTGCGTCCCAGTCGTCCGAAGGCTCGGTAGCTTGGACCGTTTCGGCATTGACATATTCATTTCGAAGTGCTGATGGCGGCGGCTCTACCGGGCTCGTGTCGGCATGCTTGGAGTGCATCAGGCCAGAAAGACGGCTGACTATAGGGCTCTCGACTACCGCATCGATAGAACCAAAACCTCCTCCTTCTGATTCTGACAGATCTTCATAGGCGTCACTGTAGATGCTGCTGTCATCATCAGTAGATTCCTCGTCCTGCGTGTAGGAAGCCAAGTTGTCTACGCGGACGGCGGTTGGGGCAGCGTCTACTTCAACAGGCTTTTCTTTCGTTACCGTGGGCTCGGGCTCAGGCCCTGGTTCTGGTTTTGGCTCCGGCTCTTCTTCCTCTTCTTCCCAGCCGCCGGGAACGAATGGTTGGAACTTAGGCTCGGGTATTTCCACAGGGCTTGGGCTGGCTGGTTGAATAGCAATCTCAGGTATTTCTGAGGCTGCAGGCTTGCTTTCGACGGGTGTAGTCAACGTCTTCGGCTCCGGCTCAGGTGTCAACCTTGCCGGCTCCAGTATGTGCGAGAATTCGCTCGGCGTCTGCATGACTTCGTGATCGGAGACTTCGCTTTGGTCAGAGTCTGAGACATAGCCGCTGCCTTCCACGGATGTGACCTCCGGTGGAAGCGGCTCTTGCGGTGATGGTTGAGTTGCCTGCTTGTTCGCAAAATCATACGCAAGGATCCCGCCAATAGCATGGTCACTGGAGGGTTCCAGTGGTTCCGAGGTCGATGTGATAGAAGTCGACAAGGAGGAAGAAACAGTTTCGGTCACCTTCTCCGGCACCTCGCCTTCCCTTGGTCGTCTGTTTTTGTCGCGGATGCTTCCGAAAGAAGGAAGAACCGGGCGCGGTTTCATAAAGTCGCCAAGATTCTGTTCTTCGCTCGCGGAGCTCCATTTTGACGCGGCAAGACCCGTGGGGGATGTAGGAGTCTCAGCCTCGGCATAGGCGGATGTACCAGCAACGACCGTTTCTTCGTCAAAGCTCACTCGCACATTCTTTTTCTTCTTCCTCGATCCATCCTCCGACACAGCATCAGAGACTTCGCTCGGCGCCCCTCTGCTAAGGACCCGACCATCGCTCGCAAGGGGTGAATTGCTCCGTCTAGACACTGAGGGAGAAGCCTTCAATGCAGACTTTGCTGGGGAGATAGAACGGGGCGGCGGCTGATGCTTGACTCCCTCCCGAAGCTCCAATGCGACAGGCGCAAAATGGGCATTGCGCGGGGGACTGAGCGATTGTGTTCTTTCTGAGCGAACACTGCCCTGTCTCTGGGCAGAGGACGCCTTCCCGAGTAGCGGATATGGGCTGTTCTGATTGGAAGCAAACTTCGGCGACAGCGGCACTTCCTCGTCTTTTTCAACCACTGCTGTCTCCAACTTACGACTGGTGTTGGCGTCGATAGGAGGTCTAATGTCGGCATCGGCAAATTCCTCGGATGGTCGCCTGGCTAGCGCAGCGACGGATCGCGGCTCGGAGATAGGCGGTGTCGGAGGACGCTTTGGAGTCTCTTCGGCTTCTACAGTGTTGTCCGCCACAAGTTCTTCAGGCTCTTCTCGTATAGCCTGGCGTGGTGGGCTTGGGGACCGTTCAGTCACATGCAGCGTTTGGGCGGGCTTTTCCTCTACGTGCCTTTCTCGCGGCGTATCCTGGTGTCTTACTGGGGCAACATGCTGCGCCTCGGGCGGACTAGCCAGTTCTTCTTCACTCATTGCTCTGTGCAAGGCCATCGCAGTCTGCTTATGAATGAAAGTTCGCGTGGAAGGGTCGTACACGGCGAAAGGGGAGTTCGGATCAACCGTGCGCGGGCGTTGGGCATGAGCTGGTGGTGTTGCATGGGACTGCCTGGACTGAACGGCTGATCCTGATGGCTTCGCCCGCATGCCTCCAGTTGCTAACCGTGCTCCTTCCACACCTTGTGCCACCCGGGTCTTCTTGGTCGTCACGGGTCGATCTGCAGTGTTCTGGACTGCTTGCTGCGCACTGTGGAGGTCAAATCCGGAAACTCCGTCAGATGTCTTCGGGCGCGATTTAGGGGCTCCCTTGAAGGACAGCTCGGTATTTACCACCGGCGCGCCAAACCATCCACTATTTGCGCCTCGAGCTGATGCGACAGGTCTTGAGGGTGACATCGGGGGCGATATAGGGCGCGAAAAGTTGATAGATCGCGGGCTGTCGTCTTGTTCATCCTCGGGGACCTTTGAGAGGCTCGTCAACCGGGGCTGTCCTCGGCCAGGTGTAGGCGCGACTCCGCGGTCTAAGCTGACGCCCCTTCCGCCGCCCCTTCCAGCAGGCGAGCCCCCGCGAAAAGGCGGCTCTAAGCTCGACGCGCGCCGATGCACCACGCTGACTGCCGGCACCTCCTTTGGCACGGCGGGGACTGGCGGTGCGGTGTGTGGTACAGGGCTGTTCCTGCTCGGCGATGGGGCGCGAAAGGAGCGCTCGGTCATGGAGCCGGAGCTGGAATTCCGTCGCAGACCGGGCGCCTGCTGGCTGCCGCTGCCCTGCGAGGACACGGAGCCCTTGCGCGCCATCCGCTTGGTGATGGTGTCGCCGACGGGGGTGGGCGAGGTGGCATGAGTGCGGAGCGCGGCGGCGGCGGCAGCGGAAGAGAGCGAGGCATTCGAGTCGCGATCTCGGAGGAAGGCTTTGGTCGCAGCGAGGGAGGCTGACGCGCTCGGGGGCGCGGTTGGGGCCTGCATTTGGATGATTAGCATCGTGTGCGGATGGGGATGGCGGCATGGGGAGAAGCGCTGGAGCTCGTCAGAAGAGGAAGGCACGCACGGGGTTCGTCGCTGCGCGCCGGCGCTTGTGGAACATGGTTAATTAGGATATCGCGGCGGGCGCGACTGCATCGCCGTGCGAGTGTGATGTAGCTCTGAGAGAGAAGGGTGTTGCGGCGTCAGGGTGCCGGGTGCTGTGATGTCATTCGGGGAGCTAGACGTGTGGAAACGCCGGAAGAGGATCGGGAGAGTGAAGCGAACGAAACAAGGAGCGACACGCCAACGCAGCAGGCCAACCAAGCGCAGCGGAAGGGGACGATGGAGGAAAATGCGACGCGAAGGAGGCGGATGGCAGAGGTCGGTAAGCAGAGCAAAACATCGTGAAGCAAAAGCCGCTAGCTCACGGGGATCAACGGCCTGTGGCGCGGGTCTCGGCGCCGTACGCCCCGTCGTCATTGCAAACAGATCTGTCGAGCCGGGCCGAGAGATCGCGTCCGCCAGCGCCAGCAGCCTCCAGTCCGCGCCATACATACAGTACAGTACCATCATTGCAGGTACCTACCTGGGTAGCTACGGTAGGGTTCGAAATTCCGCTGTCTCGCTAGCTGCCATGCCGTGGTGGAGTTGCCCCCAGGCTAACTAGGTAGGGGCGATGCCTCGTGCCTGCTGTTTTGGGCGTCTCGACATGACGGCCGCACACAGAGGAAGGCGCACACAGGAAGGCGCCATCGCCTCACAACTCACCTCACCCATCCGTCACCGTCACCCCCCATCCCGCTTCACCTCCGTCGCCTTGTGTCCGCACCGAGATAGGGCCGCGACTTAAGCTTCACAGTCCCCCCATGCACCACGCATCACCTGTCTCTCCTGTCGTGCGATGCCCGCTTGGCCGTCCGAACATGGCACAGCAGCCCGCAGTCGCACCGCATTCGCTCGCATCCGCCCCAGCGCGGCTACAGACCCTGATCTCCATGCAGCCGCGAGCTCGATTCCCGCTCTTCCGCGCCTCGAGCTGCCTTGGTCACTCTCATCTATCTCCAACACGCGACCGCTTCGGGCCTCTTGCAGCATCGCGAGCGCTAGCCGGCCCACCCCTCGTCGGCCCCGACTAAATTTAACGAATTGCGTGCTGCTTACCCGTCTGCGACCTCCAACTGTGCCTCACAACCACCCCCCATGGCGTACAAGTACGAAGGAACTGGCTCTCGCACCGTGACGAGTTCCGTTAGCCAATGACGCGGCGGGAACGCCCGATCCGAGCCGGCGGATATCAAAACCCACATTCAGCGCTAAAGTCCGGGCCCCCCGCGTTCCTTATAGACAGTGCCATGTCCTCCTTGCCCGCCAGCGGAATCTTCCAAATGACGACTTGCCAGAACCTTCAATCCTTGCCGCCTTCGAGCACCCCCTCCTCCACGGGTTGATATCCGTTCTCACAGGGAGCCACATGCTCTAGCTTCGTTCTCCTTGACTGCAGAAGATATCGGAAAACCACTACCATGTCCCTCTCCTCCCCGTCTCCTGTTAGGACCCATCTTCCACCTCTACCGCTCCCGTCAGGCATCTCGGAAAACTACGTCTTCTGTCCCTCCAATGGCCTCACCGTCCATATCCTCGAAGCTGGATACACCCCTGAGCGCAACAGGCCCCTTATCGTCCTCTGCCACGGTTATCCGGAGCTGGCCTTCTCCTGGCGGAAGATTATGCCTTCGCTGGCGGAGGCGGGCAACTATGTCGTGGCCTTCGACCAACGCGGCTATGGAAGGACCACCGGATGGGATGACTCTACGTTCGCCAAGACCGATCTGTCCCAGTTTACCGTGACAAACCTTGTGCGAGATGTCGTTATCCTCGTACACGCGCTGGGATACAAGGAAGTCAAGTGCATTGTCGGGCACGACTTCGGCGCCGTAACCTCCTCCATGTGTGCCCTGATGAGGCCGGACCTATTCAAGAGCGTCGTCATGATGTCTCATCCTTTCAAGGAACCGTCTGGGCTGCCGTTCAACATTGCCCATGGAGAAGGCCAGAACCCGCAAAGACCCGTCGATATTCAGAGGGAGCTTGCGAGGCTGCCGGAGCCACGGAAGCATTACAAGTGGTACAACTCCACGGCAGTTGCTGGTTTGAATTGGGGAGCTCCGCTCCAAGGCCTTCCCGCCTTCCTTCGGGGCTATATTCACGTAAAGAGCGCCGATTGGGAACAGAACAGCCCACATCCACTTCAAAGTTGGACGGCTGCTGAGCTGGCAAAGATGCCATACTACTACATCATGCCGCTCCACAAGTCGATGCCGGAGACGATCGCCATGATGATGCAGGGGGAGGACGAGAACAAGACCAAGAGGTGGCTGTCGGATGAGGACCTGAACGTATACGTGCAAGAGTGGATGCGGACTGGCTTCCAGGGCGGCCTGAACTGGTACAGAACATCGACAGATCCTGCCAAGATGGGCGACCTTGACCTGTTTGCTGGCAAGAAGATTGAGTGCCCGGCGACTTTCATCTCTGGAGCGAAGGATTGGGGAAACTATCAGCAGCCCGGTGCCATCGAAAGCTTCCCGGAGACGTGCACGCAGTTCAGAGGGGTCAAGTTCGTTGATGGGGCGGGCCACTGGCCTCAGCAAGAGCAGCCAGAGAAGGTAGTGAAAGAGATATTGGGATTCTTGGCCGGCCTCTGAGGTATGTGCTTTTCTCTGATCGGACATTTATGGGATGGAACCTCGGTATCGGAGCGGGAACGGATCGTCCTGGATCTGTCCTGCTCTTTACTCGTGGTGGCTGTACGACAAGGCGATGACTGCTCCTAACGGCTCCAGTTAGAAGTGACACGGGCGCTATGGTCAAATGGTCTCATATGGAGGAAAAGGAAACACAAAAGTTTTGAATTACTTCGATTTCCCGCTCTCGATTTCTGTCTATCGGCTGTTTCCGTCCGACAACCACCTACAGCTTTCTAGGCAAATGATGCACGCTGCGCCCACAACAGCTCAAGAGATACAACTTCTAATCACGCCCCCCTTTTCCCGCCCTTTTGCGCCCGGGGCGTAATGTGTCACCAACGGATATCTCGCGCGCAAACTCACCTCTTTCACTTCCCATACCTCGCCAGCACAGCCTCGCTTTGGTCGCAGGTTACAAACGATAATCCAATTTCGCTTCAAAAATCCGCCACCTACTTCTCAACATCAAGAATAACAACCAGATCCATTTCCCCCTCTCTCCAGCTGACCTTACATACTTCCCCCTAACAACCACCACCGCCATCGTCATGACCCGCCGCACCCTCGTCTTCGAGGCCACAATCCTCATCCTAGCCTGCATCGCGCTCGCCCTCACCGCCACCTACGCGACGCAGCTCTGGAACGTGCCGTTGAACGAGTACCTCCTACCAGGGACCCACCCAGGTCGTCCGTCGTCCCCCTCTACGGCATCCCCCCGCACGCCACCATCCTCCTCGCCCTCACCGGCATCGCGCTATATGCCACGCGCACCCGCCCGGGCTACGTCCTCTGCATGGCCGTTGTCCTAGCTGCTGCCTGGCTCACCACAACTATCATCTGGGCCAGTGCCACGTGCAGGCGCACAATTACGCCGACGAGGCCCTCTGGGCGGGCGGTACGTCAGCGCCGCGCTCGCCGTCTAACCTCCCTTCCTACGTGCCACCACCATTCAAAAGAACAGTGCACGGCGCCTAGTATGCTACCAAGACCGCATCGAGAACGTCCCGCGCAAGGACTACGTGGTCGGCGTGGACAGGCGGCTCGACGACGCTGTTGTGGTGGTCAGTGCGGTGATTATGCTAGTGTATGTCGTTGCGTTGTGCAGGCTTTCTGACTGACTGGTTGATTGACGGACTGACTTGATATGGCATGGCAGATGCTTTGGTTGTATACCGTTTGCGGCTAGCGATGTGCGAATTGCGCGTCGTGCTGCTGGTACTGCTAGTGTGGACTACACGTCGTAAGGCGAGGGGAGGAGAGCAGGAGGCGTGCTTTCTTTTCTCAACTGAAGCTGGAGTGGAGTATACATCTGAACTGAGCTGATTAGGCTAGGTTGGGAAGCGGACGGAGCTACTGGGGTGGTAAATACATAAGCGAGCGAGCGAGTGATGTGGTTACGAGCTCTTCTTAAAGGCTACACAGTAGTATAGCGTCCGATACATACGGTATAGCAGCAGGAAAGCACGTAGACGCACAAAGTCGAATAGAAGAAAGAGAGGCGTGTGAAGAACCATACAGCTTTTCCCATTCCATTCATCAACCCGTCCTGAAGTCTGCTAGGCTAGCTAGCTAGATATCGATCTATCTACAAGTTCCGTCCGTCCGTCCGTCCGTCCGTTCGATTCCCTCCAACCTAGCGCAGAGATGTGAACGTTCCAGACAGACAGAAGACGATCCGCTCTGCCCAAGAAGCTCCGCACGTCTTTCTCTCTCTCGCAGATGAGTTACAAATACACACAAGTCCCGCGAGACGAAGCGGCAGCCAGGCAGATAGACAGGCCTCAAAGCCTACCCGTAAGTACCATAAAGTCTCGTCTCCTGTTTGAATGATCCCTTCCCATCCAGATACCTATACCCATATACACAAGCCAAGCCGAGGCAAAATTATCCACATACCAAACCTAAACCATATACCAAAAAGATACGCCACAATAAAGGCATAACCCAGATGAGATGAGCGACCCTACCATAAATAGCCGTCCCAGCCGACGGACGGGGCCGAGCAAGCACACATACACCCAAGGAACGCAGATGCTCTCGCTCGCGCGCTTGCACATGACCAAAAACGTGTCGCCCAACATGCCAGATATCGTATCGTGCCGTACCGAACGCCTCGAAACGCCAAGCCGAATGCAAAAGCCGAATGCGGCGAGAAAAAGGCGAAAGTGCTATGATGAGACTGTCTGGCCGCCACAGTCGGGGATCGTGACGCCCTTCTTCAGGTTGCGGTCGATGTCCATGAGGCCCCATTTGTCTTCCCACTCTTTGCCGGGCTCGTTGTAGCGGACCTTCCAGGGCTCGTCGAAGGCTTCGAACCTGTGGTAGAGGTTAGTACTGGTTTGGTCGATGTATGCGGAGAAGGGATAGCACAAACCAGAAATACTCAGTCCCGTTCTTCATGCTCTGGCAGACCCAGTCCTCCATGAAGGAGTTCATCTCGTCGATACCGGCGATGGAGCCTTGTGTCGACGACGTGCAGTCTGACCCGCCGCAGTCGTTGCCGCCTCCTGATGGCCATCCGACTTCGGCGACGATTTGCTTGATGCTGGTATCGCTCTGGGTGAGGACGACGTCGTGGGTCTGCCAGAAGCTCCACGTCCATCCGGCGGCTTTGCTGACTTCGACGCCGGCGAAGAAAGGGTGAACGTTGGACATGACGATGTCTACTTTACTCGCCATATCCGCTGTCCAATTGTCGCCGAGATCCGAGGTGGCGATAGGGAGGTCGATGCTCTGCTTCGTCAGATTCGACTTGATGTCGGTGATGAACTTGAGGAGCTCGGTCTCTGTGAGGTCCTCGCGGTAGAGGACTTCGTTGCCGACAATGACGCCCTTGAACTTGTCGCCGCCGTGCTTATCGAAGATATCCCACATCTGCGAGACCTGGCGCTCGTTGGTGGTGTCGTTGTTTCCTAGCCACACGCCGAGCCAGACCTTCATGTCGGTCAGCTCCAGCTTGTCAATGGCATGGAGCACCATCTCCGTCTGGTTGCAGTCGGTACCGTACAGCCTCACCGCGTTTGTTAGTTGCGACATGACGGCCATGTCGCGGGTGATGTTGTTCTGCGAGGGCGGGACATGTATGCATTCGGGGTACTGTGCGTTTAGCGGAGTGTAGTCCATGCCCGGGAAGACTTTGTGCAGATTCTTGTTGTTCATCAGTTTCTTGATCTCGCTCGAGTTGATATCCAAGTCGTCCTTGTTGTCTTGCTCAACGGCATTCGCGGCGTCCTCGCTGCTGCTTCCTCCTCCCGAGCCACCGCCCTTGTGCAGCACAGAGCCGAGCACGCCTCCGATAATGGCGCCGATGATGACGAGGGCTATTACCGAGCCGACAATCCACGTGAGACGTTTCCTGCCGTGGTTCTGTCGGTCGAGCCAGTCTGACTTTTCCCGCACCAGCTCAGGCTGGCTGCCGTCACCCGTGGGCACAGCGTTGTATTGGCCGCTTGCATCTCGAGTGGCGCCATCTGCGGCTAGTACTCCGGCACCGGCGGCCGCTCCGGCAGTAGCAGGAGGCGTCCCATCGCGGCTCCCCGAGCCAAACGGCACAAAAGATCTCCGCTTCTGCTGTGCTGGCGTCATGCCCCAGTCGTCATCGTCGGCAACATCTTGGGGGTTGATCTCGCCCATCTGCGGCGCGAGGTTCAGGTTCGAGGAGGAGTAGCGGTTGTAGGGGCTGTCCGAGTAGGGGTAGGCATTCTGCGGCGGCGACGAGAGACCCGACATGCTCTGCTGCGAGCTGTTGCTCGAGTACATGCCTGCAGGTGCAATGGAGGTAGCGGCGAGGGGGGCATTGGATCCATACGAGGGCTGCGAGTGTATCGGTCGCGGAGGCATGGGCTGGTCGTATGCGTACTGGTCGGAGAAGGGCGTAGCTGGTTGATGTCTTTGCTCTGGCACCCCCATAGGTGCGTCATTACTGCGGTTATTCATATCCCTCATTGCCTGCACTCCGCTGTCTCGCTCGTGCGTGTGCGCGACTCCGAGGGCAATTCCGTTGATACCTCCGCCGGCGGCGCCCTCTCCCAGATTGTCCGCCCCGGGTGTGATGCCCGGCGGCGAGTAGTTGGAGTAGTTGTTCGGGTCTGCGCCGTACTGGCGCTGGCTCTGCATCTGGCTGTAGTTGGTGCCCGGGTGCATGCCGACGGGAGTGCGGTGGGCGGGCGGCGGCGGTGGAAACTGCGAGCTTGGTCCTTCGACGGGCGATACGTCCCCGCGGCGGTCGTAGGGCTGCATTGTGAGAGCTGCGGAGGCTGTCCGCTGTATCCGTCGATTAACACGCTAGAGCGAAAGGCGGGCTCGACGTCGGTGGTGAATGGCGGCCGGGCCGCGCAGGGTTGATCTCGAGGCTGTGGGGAGCGAGTGTCGACGGGCTGTTTGTTTGTCGCGGCGGTTGCGGGAGTGCTGCGCTCTCGTCGGCTCAGCGCGCTTTTCAAGCGAGTGACAGACGACAGTCACGGGCGCAACTGTCGATAGCAGGCTGAGTGAGTGGCAGGTCGCCGGGGGAGTGGACGCAGTGGAGTGAATTTGGGCGAGCCAAGGTTGCAGTGGACGGCGGGCGGTGGTGCGACGCGATGGCTGACGGCGTTGGGGCGTCTTTCCTGTTTCGCTCGCCGGCCAAGCGCTGGAGTTCACCAGGAAACGGGACTGGAACTGCCTGTTTCGGGCGGGCGTGCCGGTGCGTCATCCAGAGCCTCAACAAGGCACAAGCGTCGAGAGCACAGATTGCGACACACTGTGCACGAACATTACAATTGCACTCTGCCGGCACGTCCTTTTCTGCATCACTCTGCCCACTCTGCCGCCGTGAAGTCTCTCCTCCCCTTTTCTGCGCTGCATGCGGCAGGTCCGGCGCTCCTTCGCCTCTCGCACCAGCCTCCCTCAGCCCCCAATACGCCGGACTCTGACACCTGCCGCCGTCCAAACAAGCTCGCACGCACAGCACTCGGCACCCTGCCCGAAGAAGGATGCGATCCTCAACGGCTGTCTCCGCTTTATATTAAAGATAACGGGGAGCGCTATCGTCCAACAGCCCTGGAGTGCGCGCAATATCTAACGCCGATCTGCGAGGAACTCATCATGAACAACACCCCTTCTCACACCCGTACTCGAGACTCGAAGGTCACTTGCCGCGCCATCGCTCCTCTTTGTCTCTAAACGACGCAAGGAACACGAGCGGCTGGACTCGACCTCTCTTTTAGAGCATCTGCCCATCGTAAAACCAGACACAGCCCCTTCAGCTCCTCGCTTCTCAGTCCCTCCCAATTGCTTCCTTTCTGGGTGCACGAGTCTCGTTCTCCCTTTCGTGCGCGATGCAGAGCTCCGGATCCGTTGACACGATGCGTCCCCTTTGGTGTCGTGAAACGCCGCTCAGCAGATCGACACTGCTTTTGCGAACGGCGCGAGACAGCGTCAACTCGACGCAGATCTATCCGCAACCTGAATTTCAAGCTTCCTCGCCCTTTTTCGCCTCGCGGAACTTCGCGAGCTTCGTGCGCTCCATGTCCCTGGCCGGTGACTTGAGCATTTCTCCGGACAATTGTTCTGTGGTCCCTGGATGCTGACCCTAGCAATACTGCCGAGGTCCGCTCATATTCTCGTTCCTGGACCGGGATCTCCAGTGGGCGTTGTGTTTCGAGGCACCCTTGACCCCGGCCAATGACGTCACGTGAGCCTTTGCGAACTGCGCACGTGCTACCTACTAAGGAGATACGAGATGCTTCGCAGCTAAACGACCGACAGTGAACGAATGGATATTACCTCTTCCGCATTCGAACATGAAGGTGGGTGCATGTTGTCGAAGTCACCGCAATGCGCCCTTGAGCGGCAGGAGTGAATTGCAATCGCAGCCCGCCATCATGGCCCAAGCGTGTGCCAGCCCGCAACCTTGTATAAGACCATCCACAATCGGTACCGCAGATACGCTTCTCCCACTCGGCTGCTAAGTCAACAACTTCACTTCGGCCATGTCGGACCAAACGAATCAGACCGAAGCTCTCGACCCACAATTTCCGAACGACTCGTCGATTACTGCATGTCCCGACGAAATTCTGCTCGTAGTATTAGAGTTCCTAGAGTGCCAGAACTCTCTCTGCGCTGTTTCTCGAACCTGCCGCAAATTCCAACGGCTTGCGCAGCAACGGTTGTATACATCGATCTCTCTTGTCCGCCCTAAGGAGCGTTACGACGACAGCAATGTGGAACGTCTACTCCGGACTGTCGTCGAACAGCCTGAATTGGCGAAGAAAACCAACCGCCTCTTCGTTGAGGCCATGTCTCATCCACTTCGCATCGCGCCGGCCGTTTTCTCCGGGCTTACTTCTATACAACAAATGCATTTCGGTGACGGATGGCTTCGTTTCCCGGAAATTCCACGTGTGGGTCTGTTGATTGCTCGCCTTCCCAATCTGGAGCATCTCGACATCAACCTGTACAAGAGTTCCGAAGATGGGGAGGTAGTGTGGTTATGCGAATCCGCGGTACCCTATCTTCTCCCGGACTTGGACCTCTCGATTTCAAGGCATCTCTCCAGTATACCCGGATTTTGGAGCTTGAAAACCTTGAGGATTAATGGTTGCCGCCTAGACTGCGATTGGTTTGAGCTACCAAATCTGGAGCATGTCACAATCGGGGGCCGTTCAGATGTGTTGCATAGCACATCTCCGAAAGGCAGCAACATCTCATCCATTAGACACTGCCTCCATTGGTATGCGATGCGTTATTTGTATGTCGGCCGGGGGAATTTAGAAGACTTCCGTTCTTTGCTCCAACACTTTCCTCGCTTGCGCAAATTACAGTTCGACATCGGCTCGCCCCGGCTATTGCCCCGGAACTACGCAAGGCCACGAGATGTTTTTAGCTGGGCGTTCCTCGCCGCTCGGCTGCGCCCGGTCGCTTCATCCCTGGAAGTCTTTCGAGTGAGCCCCGACCTTGACTCCTTCCCCTGGTATCTTGGCGTTGTACGGCCAGTGGGAGATCTTTCTCACTTCTCGCAGCTGAAGACCCTGGAGCTCCCCCAGGCAGCTCTCCTTGGGCCTTCGTATGCCGGCGGGGCAATTGATATGCGGACCCTTCCTCCTTCCATCGAGACCTTAGATATATGGTTTCCGACATTTGCCATCCTGAATTGGCTGGACTATCTCTACATGACGATACCTGACTTTCCGCATCTCAAGGCTGTCAACATACGCTGCCACGATGAATGGATCTTTGAGAAGCGCCAGGGCACTAGTAGGCGCCTGGAGATCTTATATCTCGAGGACCTTGGACCTACTATGGCCACCCACCCGATATGGAAGCAACTATGGCACGCCGGGATCCGCGCTGTAGTTGTCAACCGTCACGAGAAGTTCGACGAAGCCTGGTGGGATGCAGACTACGATCCGGTGATGGCCTCAGTCGTGAAGTGGCTTGATCTGAAGAAGGATACGAAATGCGTATCGGATGCCGAGTTCTTCGTAAGTCTTGCAATTTTGTCTAAGAAGGCATGGATTAATGCTATATAGGTGCAATTCTATGATTTCTTCAGCCTTACGCGGTGGTGAGTCGAATTTCCTCGGCCGCTCTAGCGCGCTGAAGAAAGTAGGATTAATGATACCCCCCTAATTTGCTGAAGAAATGTCTACAGCCTTTCTTAGCTGTCCAGGTAGTATGCTGATAAAGAAGCGTAGATTGCTCGCATGTCTGCATCTGTACCCATTTCTTCTCACTTCTCGTCGCACTAGGCACTTACGCATTCCGCCATGGTCACTGAATTGGACATGCATTATCCATCCGGGAAAGACCGCTTCGTGATCCAAATGCGGCAATCTACCTTCTCTACCGAGACTGGAGACTGTCGTGTTTCTTGTGTCGCACCCCGGGTGGTCGGTGCATTGCACCAACATCGGTGACTCACTGACTCACTCACTCTAAAGCCACGACAATGTACAGTACCTTACCCCGGTGTTATGAACTATCTGTCTATCCCTCTACTATTGTTTACAAAGGTGGCGTCGCGAGCTCAGGATTCTCTTACATGTTAGGCCACCACATGGCGGAGGGAGCAGCATTTGCTTCAGTCCACCGCCGAGGGAGGTCGTTTGGCTGAACGAAGCACGTTGTGACTTCTAGCTTCCCTGATTAGATAGGTATTTCGAACCCACGTTCGCGGTCGCGGTCGCATTCGCTGCTCTTTCTACTCGATCTGCGGCAACTGTCAGCCAGCCAGCGACGCATCGTCTTAGAAACTAATCGCGCCCCTCGGGCCCCGGAGGCATTCTGAACCCCAGGGTACTGAATCAAACGCCGTCGACTCAGACGGCCCTCTGGCTCGCTAATATGCCTTACTCAGCTACCCGATTCTACTTATCCCCTCCTCCCTAGATATCATCCTCCTTTCCATTCTCCCTTCTTCCCACATTACCACCTTTTCGCAACAAGCCACATACACACACACATCGCGCACACACTCTCCCTCGTGCTCATCACTCAAGCATACCCATCCTTTCATCGCGCCCAAAACTTCCAACGAGCTCGAACTGCAATCTCGTCGCCGAAACCTTACCATTCACTCATACTCAACGGCACCCAGAAACAATCCTCACATCCTCAGAAGACGCAGCGTAAGATACCTCCCACCGCTCATACACAGCCTAAGCTAACGAGTCCGCAGCATCATGTCCGCCACCATACCCATATGGCTCGGGATCTTGTTGGCTGTGGCTATCCCTGCGTTGATCGTGCTGGGCTGGTACATCCGTCGTCGGTGCTAGTAAATACTCTGCGGGGTGTTTGGGGATTGCTGCTTGGTTGGCTTGGGCTTGGGCTTGTTTTGAAGCGGGATGCACATTACGGTCTCTTTTGCGTGGATCTAGACGGGTGCTTCTTCTTTTAGAGGCGCGTAGATTACACTCTGGAATCCATGGAGGTAGACTAGAATTTTTCTATTGAATGCAGGGTTTGCGAAGAATTGCGTGTGACGTGCCGCCGCCTTGGTGCTGGCGATGTTGTAGGCGGTGTTGCTCTCCTCATACTCTCAGCTATTTCGACTCCGCTTGGTACTTTGTGGAAAAGCCGCTCGCGGCACTCGCGCCCTCTTGTCATAAGTCGTATAGTCATGCGTGTTGGTGTGTCAACCCGGACTGCGTGTGACTCCCACGCCCGCTGGGCGTAGATTGAGTCACACTAGCCTGAATCAAGCCGGTGCACCTTGCACGTTGACTCCGCGCTTGCGTATAAAAACACGTCTTTCGGAAAGATCGCTGAAGTCTATCACTCTCCTGAAGACTCTCTTGAAACAGTGCAAAGCTACTTTCTACACGCCGGCTGCGTTTGAGGAACCTACACACCCGAGATCCGTTACTCTTCTTGCGCGAGATATCTTGCGCTACGCTGCGGCTGCCTTTCCAGAACAACCACTCGCTCCCGAGACCGGTAATCCTCTTTGCGCCGGACATCCTCCACCCCACGAAGAACCCTCACGATTTTCACGATTTACAAACACCTACTACCGCACTTCCCGCATCACCAAAACGCGCCTTGAGCAAGTAACACCCCGTACCAACATTCTCTCAGCGCTGAATCTAACCCCCCCTGCGCAGGAACAATGCAACACCTCTACCCGCGAGGCAGCGAACCGACGCCGACGAATCCCTGCCAACACTACATAGATGCCGCAGCGTATAACCGCGCACTGATGTGGGGGATCCTCATATTCTCTCTGGTGTTCTTGGGCGGGGTGCTCGTGTTTTATGAATGCCGGTCTTATCGGCAGAAGCGCGGGAAGGGTGGGGCTTGAAGGGATGGGCTGGAGGGAGATGGAGTGGTGGGCAGGGAGGATTGTGCACTTGTCTAGAGTGTTTGGCATGTGTAGATAGATATATAACATGTTCCTGGGTGCACTGCTGCTGAAACTATACCATTGAATTGTGCTATGTTTTTGCCAGCTGTGCAATTGTTATACAATATACCTGCAGGGGCGGATGAGGGAGAACTACGCGTAGTGATGAGGGGCCTTCCCCTTTTTACGATTGTTCCTCTGGGTTGAAACTGCAACGAGAAGGAAGGGGGCTGCTACCCTTCATTAGGCACTCTAACCTTGGAGGTGAGGTCCACTCGTTGAATAAGAGTGCGGAGGAATGATGAGAGCTTACTGAAGTGCCCGTTATAATCCTTTTGGCGGATGCGTGTGCAACTGAGCGTGGAGCCATAAATATGGTCCTCAGCAATGGGCCTAAGTCGGCGGGAGACTGCTACGAGAGTCGTCTGATCGGGTAGTTGAAGTAGTTCTGCAATGTCGAGTAGGGTCTCATCCGGCAGTTTTTCGACGGGCATTATCCCGATGGGATACTTCGCAATTGAAAGTTGAGTGCAATTCTCGGCTATGGTGCGAAGTTGGTTGTCTGCTGGGTCGGCGGGCTGTCCTAGTTGGCGCTCTGGAGGAGGAAAGCAACTTAAATATTCGCGTGCCTGGCAATATATCAGCTGTGAAAGCCTCGCAACAGCGCTAGTGAGGAAGAGAAGAGAGGCAATGATTGACCATAGCGCCCACCAAGGGCACCTTGGCGGGTCTTGCCATTAGGACACTGCTGCGGCATTGCCGTTCACTGCATGCCTGTGAATTCTCGTTTAACTGTCACTGGGATGGGAGCCTCCATCCATGCGCTGAGCTGAGCTTCGTCGTTCTCGATGAAGAGAATGTGTAGCTCCGCGCCAGCAACTATACCTTGAGTCCGCGCGCTAAACCACATGACTTTGACGTGCCGGCGTACCCTCAGCCTCTTCTGTATCCTACTTACGATCTTTTGAGGATACTTCCTAAACCCATGTCAATCGCCTTAGTGCAGCTCAGTTCGAGTCAACTTCCGGAAATCGGACGTGCAAGTGATGATCTCCTCGGTTCGTCGGAGGGACCCCGCGTGGGTACGCCATATGCACACACTCCATTAGGGCGAGGAGAATCTGAGTCACCGTGGGACCGCCAACCTCGTTGACGCCCTTGGCGCTGCAGAAGCGTAGGATGTTAGGATTGTAGGTGGCTGTCATTCGATTTATGCGCCGGGAAGTTGCTGAATTGTCTTCTTGAAAATTAGAGAGCGATCCAATCGAGCGCGTCGAAAGAAACATGACGTATCAGGGATGCATGAGGCTTTCAAGTCTATGCGGCGAACCGCCCATGTGACTCATGAGAATTTTTGGAGGTCGTATCATTGCCGTGGTGGCTGCAGGCGTGGTTGCATCATTGTTGAAGATGAAAAAGTGACGAAGGAATCAGAGGAGAATAGGTACGCTAGGCCTGATCTCGCTTAGTTGAAACGCTGTGGAGTGAGGGGGAAAAGCTAGGACCTCGACCATAAATTCTCGGAGGTCCCTCTTCACACTTTAAATCTCATCCGCTTCTCAGTTTGCACCTGCTCACACGTGGGAAACGCAGATTGCGAATTAAGAATCATTTCCCTGCCTTCGTCCGATCATACCTCCTTAAGGGACTTCTCGATACTATGAGCAACTTGGACCGCACACAGTCACTCCTGTTTGCCTACAAGCAGTACAAGCGAGACACGGAATACATCGCAGGATGGCTGGCAGAGACATCACGTATCGCTGACTATGCTTTAAAAGAGCAAGGGGAGCGCACCCAATCGAAGCCCAAGAAACGAAGAAAAGACAGGAAGAAAGCCAAGCGAGATGGCGGCGCGAACAGCGGCCCGCAATACCTCATCAAAGTTGCCGATTTCGTCCCAATGGCGGAGTCCATCGCCAAGGCCGAATCAGACGTTCTTGTTCCCGTCGCTCTTCAATCGCGCCATCCAAACGCGCCGAAAGGTCTCGAATTGGTTCAAATTCAAGATCGACGCGGACACGGAGAGCAACAAACGCCATCACTATTTCATCACCGTCTTGGAAGACGCATTTCGAGTGCTGCGACCCTTCATCTCCACTGGCCCGCACCCTGCGCGAGCCGGCGATGGGAAGACCAATCCCGAAGCAATGGCTTTTGAGAATCGCTTCGCTACCCTGACTATCGGAGAGGCGGCCGAAATGGCGGATGAGCTCGAGGCCGAAGATCTGGCACTCCCGGACGTAGTGCACGTGTTACTCGAGAAGGACGACGAAGAGCTGGAAGAAGAGTTAAAGCTCGCAGTCAGTGTCTTCCTTGAAGGGCTCCAGGCCATGCATGGCGTGGCCTGCGAGCAATGGAAGAAATACAAGAGCGGTGAGGTGGATTTGATCGTAGCGGCAATGGTTACCGATGCAGCGATCAAGCTTGCGCAAAGAGCAGAGGCCGAATTTGACCTCGTCGTCGTGCACCGACCGCAGAAGTATTCAGCCTCCACTTACCCGTTGTGGAAGCTCCTCGAAGCGTTTGCCGAGCCCCCCAACACCCAAGAAGAAAGCCATGACCATGATGCTCAAAAGACTGCGACCTTCTGGCCTACACATGCAGGCCTTCGGCTGTACTTAAACAAGCTCTCCAGGGCGGACCCACGGAAAAGCATCCCTTCGATTGTTGCGAGGGAGCTCGAAGATGCCCATGCACACACTGTCCGAGCCGCTGAATTCGCTCAGATGATCCATATCACCTTCGGCAAGCGACCACATGTATGGGACCTGGTTTCGAAGGGCATCATGCACATGCTCGAAAAGCGAGAGATGTCAGCATGGGCTACGCTGACGCTGCAAATACATCTCGACTCACAGGACATCCTTGGCGACGAATGTGCTCGCACCGCCTATGTGCTCAACCTGCATGCACAAAAGATGATCGAGCTATACAATGATGTGTTCGATTATGACAGCCCCTTCTTACCGAAGCCAAAGCATGAGAGTGAGAGGGGTAATTTCGTGGCGTGGGTGTGCGGGGACTTGCCCGACGCTCTTGAAGATTGTATAACTTGGGTTGTTCAAGATGGCTTCGGCGAGCAGTGGAGAACGCTTTTGAACAACCCAAAAGTCGCATCGCATCCGGTTCTGAAGACGCTACGCAGCGAACCGAAATTTTTCCTCCGTCATCACCCGCTACTTTGTGGTATGATCAAATACGATATTTACCGCAAGTGCCATGCTGCCGGCTTGAGGTATGAGGCGCAAACGGATGGGGTCAACATGCTGGCCCACATATACGTTACCGGAGGCCTAGAAGCGACGATTCGAAACGGCAGTGAAGGTCGCGATGAAGAGTGCTTTTGGCCAGACATGGAATTTGTCCTCCAAGCTCAAGATCCGGAATGGTTGTTTGTTGGCGGATTCCCCAAGTCCCTTGAAGAGGCACAGAGAAAATTCCTCCTTGCCGCCGGGTCGCCCGCCACCAATCAGGCAAGGGACATTCCTCTCAAGCGTCTCAAGGTCAACTTGAAGAACATACGCCAATTCAGAGACTACAGTGTCTTCGGTGAGGGAGTCAACCGTCCGGCTGATGCGGGCACAAGAAGCGCAGACGACATGATCACGCGCCTTCTCCAAATGACAAAGGCAGGGTGGCCGTGGGGAAGAATTGCGAAGCAGCTCATGGGCAGCGAACAAGCCCAAGGCCCAACGACGTCACCGATCGGCGACCAAAAGAACGTAACTCCTCCGGAATTGCTCGGGAATCTTGGCCTGTGGCTACAAGCGGATACACCGGACTTGTTCTTCGATTGGCTTCGCATGCAGCTCGTATGCGGAGATATATGGAAGGAGATCTTCTCCCGTGTAGAAAGATACCCTCACTGGGACCGCGAGGCCTCGCAGCTCGAAAAGCCCGTTATAGAACCCGATATCGATATCCTCACCCGCGACAAAGCCTACCCTACCTTTCTTCAAGAGGCGTTTGGCGCGGTAAAGGCTCGTATCGACAGTCGAGTGGGCGTACTAGGAGGTGACACGTGTCTCTCTGCACTCGCCATGTACCATAAACGAACTGCGAGACAGCTTGACCGGGTTCCAGGCCCGCTCAGCATCGCCAACCTGTACAGATACTGGCCTGAAGAAAAATGGCGTCCATACTGGGAACGCATGAAGTCAGAGCCGGAAGAGGAGGCAGAGGTGAAGCCAACGAGGAGAGAGCGAAGGAGAATCCAGGGCAAAGACCCCATGCAGATGACAGATGAAGAACTAAGGCAGTACACTGAAGAAGAGATCAAGGACATGCTTCTCGAATCCACGAAAAAGGACATAATAAGCCCGGACGTCGTAGCAGGAAAGACTCAACAGCAAATCGATGCTGCATGGGAGCAGATGAAGTACCTTGCGCGGCCCACAATGGATGAGGTATTTGAGCAGCATTTCAGACATCAGTTCCCGCCCAAAACTAAAGAGCTTCGGAGCCAGCAGTCTGAACTCCCGACTGACGAGAAACTGAAGGAAAGGTTCTACGCCGCTTTTTATGAAAAGGGTCTTGGTGGGGAGTCAGCTTCCGACCTGAGGCGAGTAACGCATGAAGTTACCCAGCCATATATGGACAATCTTTTCGAGGCTTGCATGCGTCTCGGCTACCTTCCGGAAATGTTCAACGATCCCGAGCTGGACGCGTTGCTCAAAGAACGAAGGCGCAGAACCGATGAAAGCCAACGGCTAAAGTGAAGGACAGCATTGATCATGGGTTTATCCGACCATCGCGGATCTGAGGGTTGTCCAATACGATGGGCATTTCATGGTTTGCTGCGGGTGCGGGTGTGAGTGCCTAAGCGTCCTGATTTTCGTGGGCCTTTTCCTACTATTTACAGATACAACTCGGTACTATATCTAGCTGGCGACCTGGAAGGAAAACTCTACGTTCTTTAATGCTCGCAATCAAAACACAGCATCGATTGTACGGCCTATTGACTAAGACTTACCCTCGCACTATGCTACCATGCGGAGTCAGATCGAAGCATCCAAGACCCTCTGGAAGAATGACGACTTCAAACTGGTCAACATCCCCTCCATTATCGACCTGGTCCGCGAATATAGATCCTGTCACAGTACTTAGCATCCTTCCCAATTATCAAAACTGGACGTCCCGCTCTCACCTTCGTAGGCATTGCCGCCATTCGCGAGCCATTTCGCAAGCGCATATGTTGCTTTATCGTACTCCTCCCACCCAGGACGACGATCTTGCTTACGGTAGTGGAACTGAACGTCGATGTTCGACGCACGCAGCCGCTGAAACGTTGGATGAGGATCCGAGAGATACATGAACTGCTCGAATGGATGACCTCGAGCATTTGAGCAATGGTATACAACGTCCTTGAGAGCAAAACGGGTCTTCTGCGGATGCTCAAGAAACCGATCGAAGTGGTTGTAGATGTCCAAAAGCGGAAAGAGGACTTCTAGTCGCTCGAGACATTCCGGCAGCACCCGGGCGAGGCAATCCTGAGCGCTGGGAGAGGGAGTGGCGTTCTTTGCGAAGAGGCCGTCGTACGGTATGCGGAGGAACTTCAAGGCGCTAAATTCCTTTAGCGACGAAGGACAAAATGGTGTGACGAAGTCGAGGAATGAGGTAGGATCGTAGTGTTCGAGCCGTAGATCCAGCACTGTCAAGACACTGCGTAGGTGTCCTATCATATTGACCAGGGTGGAATACGATCCCAGCAATCCGTGACCAAGCACCTCTGAAGAATTTGTTTTCCTGTAATCTGGGATGATCTGGACCTGCAGTTCCTCAAGTACCGAGAAGTGACGAAGGAATGTAGACCAGCCGCTATGCCTTCTGTCGCGGGGAGAAAGCACAGGACTAAGCGCGTCGAGTCTCAGCTTTCTGACCATAACCGGCCCTTGGGAGACATTTTCGTCGCTTATCGTGTAAATGCCACGAATCTGCACCTCTCGCAGCGCCGGTAGCGTTGCCCAAAGCGTCTGGAAGTGGTGATCCGTGTTGGAGAGGAAGTGTAACGTCGTAAGGTGCCGAAGGCCCGGTATAACGGATAGGTCGGTTTTGCGGTCGTCCACCTTCGGGCCAAAAAATTTCTGCAAAGGCTTATCTTTCCCCATTTCTGTACCATGAAGTATGAGCTTGAGAGTGCGCAGGTTAGGCGTCAGGTGGAGCAGAGCGCCTGCAAGAAAATATTCGCATATGTGGGCCTCAATGGAGCCGCATAAAGGAGTTGACTGCGCAATCAATGCAGGCATAACAGCGAGTTCGATGGGTACGGTGGTCTTTCGAGGCCCAAGCTCGAGCTCCTGGACCCCACGTGCGAGATCTGGCCGCTTCTCGAGAGTGTCCTTCATTGGTACAATCTTACTCGGGGCCGACTTGGAGTAAGTTTTGCGGTCCCAATCCCAAGGATCTAAATCAGGGCAGCGGTATAAGACGTCCTCCATTATCTTTCGCAATTTCGCGCAAGTGCATCCAAGCCGGATGAGGTCCTTGTTCTCGAGCAAATTAGCGATTGATAGCAGCATCTCAACAGGAAGTCTGCAAATGGACAGGTGTCGGAAAGGCGGGCCCGAAAGTGCGTCTGAAGTTGCCAGTAAATGTTAGCGTACCTCTAGATTGAAGGAGATGATGGCCTGACCTATGTTATGTGTAGACGCCATGATGGTGAGGGTTGAGTGTTAAAGGTTGAGGGGGTCGGTTGAGCCCAGAAAAGTGCGGAGAAATATTGCACCGACCGAAGGTGTCTTGGCGCGGTCGGTGCTACCCAACATAGGAGTTGAAATTTTTGGGATTTGAGACCAAAATCGCATCAGATGAAACTTAAAAGCCAGTAAGAATGTGGAATGTGGGCCGGGATGCGACGTTGGTAAAGAAAAGTGTTGCCCGATATGGTTACCAGTTCACGTGACCATGGCCCTCTGTATATATATACCTACTCGCTCCGTATTTCTATCCATCCACTCATGCCTCCTTATTTGCCACCTTCTTGATAGAAATTTTGTCGCCTCCACTTTGGTTAGGGACAGCGTCTCAAGATACACGACCCAGACGAGAATGTGATTTCCTACCTTGAGATGGAAACTATGATGCTTTGTGCCCAAGTTCCTTCTGATCTGATTAACGAGTGGCGCAATGACCATGCCTTATCATAAAGAGTCATAGTTTTGCGGAGACTCATCGAGGCTTGACTCACTCAGGGATATTAGACATCCATCTTCAACACTCGCTCCCCTTATTTTCCTCAGCACCTACATACTAGAAATTATTCCTCAACCCTATTCTCGATCACGATTCCGGAGCACCCCAACGGCGGACACGAAGACCGATACCACTACCCTCATAGAGAAGATGATCGGCCCGACTGCCACAGTCAACGAGCGGAAGCCTGGAAATGAGATGCCTCTGGAAAAGATCGTTATATTTGTCGACATTCCTGACCCGGACAACCTTTCCATGATCATGTACCTCCTTTCGTACTATCGCAAGCACGCGCACTTCGAGAAGATTGCGATTGTTCTTACACCACGTATCCTCGATCTACGCGTTCCGCGGTACGGCAAACACTTCAAGAAGCTGCTGGGCGTCGTGAATGACGTGAAGGAGCTGATCATGCCAATCACGAAGAAGGAGCAGCTCGATCATTTCAAAGACGTGCCACAGGAGCTGAGGAAGTGGTTCTATGTTGACGAAGATTATGACGAGGCGAGCGTACGAGAAGACACGGCGTATTGTTACAGGTCAGTTTCCATCATGCGCATCGTCCGTGCATTGACGGAGCAAGGCTATACACCGAATGAATACGACCTCTACTGGGATGAGAAATCCCTAAAAGTTGGGAAAGTCGGCGATCCTGCCATGCGTCATGCGTTCCACGTCCATGACTTCAAGTATGGCTTCAACGAGGAGGAAATGAGGCGATATGAAAACATCACTGGTGCCGCGGAGGAGCCTAGCATTAAGCTCCATGACAACCTCCAAGAACTTTGCAAAAACTACACCTGTCGAGTTCACGATGAACTGAAGGAACGTCTCGGGGTGCGCACGGCCTGGGAACTGATCAAAAGCTTCGATGATCTAATTGAGGATGGAAAGAAGGGCCTAAATCCGAACTCCCGATTCTTTATCGGTGGACCATTCACTGAAGCGGCCCGTTACATAAGGAGCAATGAGAACATTGACGGAGGGTGCCCGGTGGAAGTCACCGCCATGGCAGGCACCATGACCGCGGATCGCAACATCTTCAAGAACCAATTCAATATCCACGCTGATGTTGAGTCAGCAGAGCGGGTACTTCGATTTCTGCAAGACCGGCAAATACCCACGAAAATCGTGCCGACCGAAGCCATCAAGGGGGTCCTTGAAATATCTACGGATGAATACTGCGAAGCCTTCAAGAAGAGTCGCTATCTCTGCCGGTTGATTCGGCAGTACGACGAAGACAAAGGTGCCACTGGCAAGTGGTACAATTTCGACGGGATCACAGCAATGACGGTGGACCACGACGACCTATTCGAGTGGATACCCGTCAATGTGAGGAGCGAGAATGAGATGGACGAGGAGACAGTTCGGTTGGGGAACACGGATCCGCGGGTTGTGTTTGAGCATTCGAACCCAGGGGAAGGTTCCAGTCTGAAGATGGCGCAACTCAAGGAAGTCACCGAAGAGAAGAAGGGTCGTATCCTTAAATATATGGCCTCCTGCATTGTAGAAGACGACGGAGAGAAATAGTGGGCTGAGCCGGTGCTCTCTAACTCTTCGAAAGGTTAGAATGACTGCTCGGTTTACTTCATTGGTCAGTCATACAATGCTACTTTTGTTAGTACAAGTGTTCACCCAGCATCATTATCTTCAAATACGCACCGTCTGCGTTAAGTGCTGATCTTCCGGTATAAAAAATTGCTTATTCGGCCACTTTTCGGCCTGACCACCTTTTATCTTGCGCATAGATACTGATTGGCGCGTCTGTATATGCCCTCATCGTACCCCTCGATCTAAATATTTTCCAGCCTGTGGCCATGCCTATTACGAGTGCTCTCATTCGAACATCATTCCCAATAGGTCGTTTAGGTGGCCACAGATGCACCTAGCCGACGCCATTCTCCCGATCTATCATATCTCGCGTATCCCTTCATTGTCCTAGTCGCCGGAAGATTTCCAACAAAAATTTCCCACACGGCATCCAGTTTCTGCCAGAAAGGCTCCGCCTGTAGTTCAGTCAGGGACTAGCATCCACCGCTCCAGAAAACTATATCCTCAAGGCATGGCAATTCATGGCCGCTCAGTTTCGGAATTTGAGCCAGCCAAGAATGGACTTCTTCTGTAGGGTTCCTTATGCATAGGGTTTCTAGAGACGCCGGGAAGAAAACAACCATTTTGGGCATGCGATCGCCGAAGGAGTGTACTTCAGGTCCGTTGATCAAGGCGCCCTGAGGTGCGCTGAAGAATAAGAGGGAAGTGAAATGCCGTATAGAATGAATCGGAATAGCGCGACGAAAAATATTCGCGCGCGCCGGGACCGTGTCGCTGTCGGGGAAGACGTTTATGTCCAAGATTTGTAATTGCCCGGCCAATGAATTCAGGCTCTTGATCAGATAAGGGAATTCAGGCTCGGTATGTGCGCTTACGATCCCAGTCGAAAACAGGCGGAGTGAAAGGTTGGTCAAGTCCGGACAGTCGAAAGCGGAGAACATATGCTCCAGATCGCTGTACCGAAAGGGAAGTGTTCCGGACCTGATCATCTCGTGATCAAGTGATATGGCCATGGAATGCAGTTTGGGTGCCCCCGAAAGGCTTGCAGGGCCGTTGAGCCGTAGCAAATCATCCGGACTAATATTGGCCAATGATAATTGGCTCAGATTGGGCATATCGAGGGCGAGGAACTCCGTGTGCGAAGCCAGAGCTGCTAGGGATACAAGTTGCTGAAACAGACCTATCGCTACCTTTGGCGGAATGAGGGTACCGAAGAGCGCCATGATAGGATCAGAGGACGCGGAATTGAGTCTGTCCCACGCTAGAGCGCAATCGAGAACCGCTACGTCTAAGGTCGTAAGATTTGAGAGTATTGCCAGAAGCAGTCCCCCATAGGCTGATTCAATGGAAGCCTCAACCATTCTATGCCACGGATGACCTTTCTTGTAGCCCAATGCGACCAGCTTTGCGAGACTGAGCAATCGGAGTTGCTCAAAGTCAAGCCCAGCCATGTGGTAGGCCCCGCAAAGGTTCTTCCGAACAGTCACAAATTGTAGGGCGCGCATCTTCTCGGCTAATTCCGGGCGTGTCAGAATTGTGAGGAGAAGTCGGGGCATTCCATTGGCGGCTGGCTCATCGATTTGCGGAGGGCCGAGTTTGACGCATCGGTAGAGCAGGTCTTCCGCGATGGGGCGTACTCTCTTGGACACTTGTGACAGCGAAAGAAGATCGGCGACCTCTGCGGCATCGACGTGTTCAGCTACATGTAGAAGTAGCTCATTTGGAAGCCGGTATAGCGGCGGTGGGTCCGCGACAGGCTGCGTCATCTTGCGGTGTTGTGGGTGAGGAATGAGTCCTACGGGTGGTAAAGAGTCAGAGGCGGCCAAGACGTGCGACACGGTTTGTTGGGAACACAGCACTAACGACCTAGTGTGTCTTGGCACCTGTCACATGACTTTGAATTCATCGCTTGGCACAACTCCTAATCACAACAAAAACGGAAACATAAGCAGACACACGGAAGTAAGTATACATTGGATGGCCCCCGCTAGAGAGACTATTAAACGGGAACCCTGAGTTCAGAAAAGATGTTGCTCTTGAACAGTGAGCAAGAATTTCCTACTGCCATTTCCCGAAAGGCAGTCGAAACGCGAGCATCAACGCGTAAGCTGGGAACTCAAAGTGCGTTCAGAAAGTCCACCACTCCTATGACCGCCTTATCTTGGAAGTCGTCCTTGAGCTCCTTGCCGGGATCCTCCAGCTGGTAGTTCGTGCCGTCCTGGGAGTTCAACTGGTCGTAATACTGTTTCTCGCGAAGCCGACTCACATGTCGAACCGCAACAAGGATACCGATCTCTTCCAGTGACTTCCAGACAGGATGATTGTCCCTCCAAAACCAGAGGAACGAGCACCCTCGGTCATCGTCGGCCGAAAGCTGGATGTTCTTCAGGGAAGGGAAATGGGATGGCGCGATTGGAGGAACCTGGCCTAGAAAACCCCTGATAGAAGCGGTCGGATTGATGATATCAAGGTACGCGAGGCTTCCAGGCAGGATTTCGGAAATAGAGAGATAGGGTAACTCTGTCCATGTAAATCTGTCCAGAAGAAACTCCTGGTGGACCGTGAGATTTTTCAGCTGTGGAAAATGCGTCAGCGAGCTTGCCGGAGCTATCAGGTCTAGCCATTCCGTTGCGCGCCAATCCACGTGCTCGGCCACCACTTGAAGTTGTCGTAGAGAGTGGGAAACCTTGCCTAGCGCATCCACCAATAATTGACAATCTCCGAACATCCCGGGAGATGTGCCAAGTATCTCAAGGGAACGCGGGTGTCCGTTAACGTCGTACGCCATCGGGGCATTGTCAACCGATAAGCTCAATGTCTCAGGGCAGCTGAACGCTTCCAAAAGCTCTCCAAGTTGCGTGTACGAAGATGGCAGCAGGAGCACCTGTGTATTGACATGGAGAACCACTTCCGATACGGTCGAGTTGATGCCCTGGTACGTGCCGCTCATCGGGCGACAACCGCTTCCAAGCTTAACCTTGCGCAAGGAAGGTATCCGTAGCCAGTCCCCGTGGAAGGGCCCACTCCAAAGCGAAAGTTTCCTCAGACGGGAAAGGCCTCGGACCGCAGTAAGACTTTTGAAACGATAAGTCCCAAATAAGAGTCCGGCAACGTCAAGATCGACTACGCCTTTCCTGGTTTTGATGTAAATCTCTAGCTCGTCGAGGGGCGGTAGGATATGGAGCATCAAGCCGACTAATGCTGGTTCATAATTTAGTCTGATCCCCTCGAAATCAATGTCGGCTTTGAGTCCTAGAAGACAAATGCACTCCTCTTTGACCGCCATAAAATCCGCACCCTTCGGAAGTGGGACTTCGCGGTGTCTCACAACGACGAAGACTTCTTTGACTTTTGCCAGGAGATCCCGGCGATCCAGAATGGTGCGGAGAAACTGCAGAACACGGCATTGTCGGTATTTGTAGGAATCGGCGATATACGGTGAGCGGTAAAGAGATTCCTGAGCGATATTTCGGAAACGGCGCGAGACCAGAGCAAGATTGCAAACACCACTCATAGGCCTATCCTCATTCCACCGAGTAGACCCGGCGATCTTGAGTAGCAGCTCATCCGGTAGATCCTCGAGTATCGTCATTCTAGGGCGTAAAAGTCTTGGCAAGATATGTTGTTGACGGGCGCCCGGATGGTCTGCTGCACGTGCGGGCTACCGTCGCGGTGGTCACTGTAGGAGACGTAGGGGACGGGTATTGCGCGCGGTAGATCGCGAGATTCCACGTAGGTCGAAGGTGGCTGGCCTGGAGAGTCACGTTAGCTCTGTGCTGACTCTGCAAACACGAGTGTCGGCGAGGTTGAAGTGAGGAGGGAGGGCGAGGCTTTTGTGAGTCCCGAGAGCCAGCGCACAGACGCCAGACTAGCCCTAAAACGGATTGCTGTCACGTCCAAGTGCCGACCCTAGCGGGCTTATTAGTTCTCATGGCTGCGGAAACCTTTGAGAAGTATTTTGGGCATCACAAACGCCTCTTCGTCTTTCAAGTCTGTCAACCTAGCGTGCTTCCATTGGAATATTTCGCATGTTGCTAGTGTCTGCCGATGCATAACGGTGCCCACTCCATAATGCTTCCCATTTTAGGCCTGCGTCAAACGAATCTCTTTACTCTCCATTTCCGCCCGGATAGCGTTATCAACATCACAGCCCCCACAACATTTCACTTCTCCAGTGTCTCTAGAGCTTTCCATCTCTAACATCTTAATCCTGGGCCTGTTAGCGTGAGTGATCACGTGCTGATCTATGTTGAGGCACAGGTGCCGCAGGTTTAGGTACGAAGCGCGGTTTCTGAGAAGGTGCTTTATGTAGCAAGTGATTGCACATCTGTCGCCGTAGATCGCAACGTGCTTGATGGAGACTGGGAGAGTGCAGATGTTCAAGTTCTGGTCGGCAGAGAAGAATGCTTCCCGGGGCGCGCGTATGTAGCGAAGGTTCGGGAAGTGTGCCAGTGTCTTTACTAGCTTTATGCTCTCGAGAAACATGCGCTCGCTGATGCGATTGAGCTATGAGTAGTTGACATTAGAGGTGTCGATACTCAGTGCCTCTAGAGTATTGTTCTTTATGAAATTGATGAGGAAGTCGTAGCTGCATAGCCGGGGCCACCAGGTTCGTTCCAGGAAAGAAACGCCACAGACAAGTTGGAGAGTAAGTGACCTCAGATTTTTGAGCCGATAAAGGAGTTCGCGTAAGTAGGCGTACGGCCTGTCACTGTCATTGAGTTCCGAGATATGGTCGACCGCGATGACGTGCATATCAACCGCGACTGTGACGTCTTGGAGAGTATCCGGTATCGATAAAGAACAGGAAAGCTGCATGAACGGTGGCGTATATATCCACTCTTCGTTATCATTTTGGAGGGCGAACTTGAGCACCGCGAGCTTTGGTAAGCAGAAGAGGCTCCCTGGTAGTGGGACGTTTGCTTTCAGGACCTTCAAGGCAGCAAATCCTGGAATCCATGAGGGATGGAAGCCGGCCGCTTTCGGCAAGGTTCCAAACAAGGACTCCAAGTGAATATTCTGTGGCATTTGGAAACTACCCGTAAAAACGTCCGGCTGATAGGGCGCCACATAGAAGGAGTGAAAGACGAGCCGCTCAGTCCGTCACCCCAGCCAATGCATTCCTTTGTCCTTTTGTAAGATCCTCCATCCACTTATCATTGCAAAACCGGTGGCCGGAGGCAGCAGCAGTCCGAAGCAAGAAATCCTCGCATACTCCTTCCAAAGTATATCTTCCCGCTCTGACATGGGGGCAATGTAGTCTTGCCTCCCCCAATAAGATCTGTCGCCACGGTAAGGTCGACCATGCGAGCCATCTTTGCCAGATCAGGCCGCTCAAGCAATGTTCGGACGAGGAGGGCAACGGGAGGGACGCGGAGGATGCTGTCGCCGTCGTCGCCTAGGTCGCTTCTGATGATGACGGATCGGTGAAGTGCCTCTTGCGCGACGGATCGCAGCGGTCGAGAAACTAGCGCTAGACTCTTGAGGGCAGCATAGCATTCGCGGAAATTGTCAGAGATGTAGCGGAGCTTCGTTGCGACGTTGAGGAGAAGCTCATTGGAGAGATCCCCCTCGCGCGCTATCTGCGAGCGCTGCGTTGAGATGATTCGTAATTGTTTGTTGTGGTGGAGGAGGGAAAGAGGGGAAGTGGCGGGGGACGAAAGCTGGAGACGCGTTGAGCACGAAACTGCGCTAAGCGTTCACGGCTTAAGTCTGCTTTACCTTGAATTTCCTGCACCCCCTTTAACAAATTGTCCCACCCGGCCGATCTTCTAAAGTGCCTTGATAGCTTTCTGCGGAGCATGAACGCAACGAATGTGGATTATTGGACGTGTCATGTGACCTTCGTCGTTCACTCCGACGTCTGGGCCATCGCGCATTCCGTTTAGAACACATTACGTCATAGGAGTGACCAGTTGGTACCTTCCATCGATTCAAAAAGCTACGTCGCCTTGTTGCACCCCAGGAGGCGCTTATGCACGTTCATTCTATCCAAAAACGCATCCCGATGACGCGCTTCTTCCCTCCTTCCCTCGAGAGCATTTAGGTGATCGACGCTACGAGTGCTCTGAACCTTTGGGCCCGAGATCTTCTACAGCATCAAGATCACGTTCCGAACCTGCGCCGCGTTGTTCTCTGGTGCGACCACGAGGAGGATGTCTTGGTCCCAGACTTGCGGCTTCATCCCGCCAGTCACGCGAGGATTCGCCTCCTCATGTGCAGGGCTTGGGCATTACGGATTTGGCTGAGTGGAAGAAAGAGTTCTTTGTCGACGAGGTAATTTGGGATCAGATTAAAATGGCGGGGATTGAGGTGGTCCGAAAGGAAAGGGTCATGCGCGGCGAATGGAAGACGTGCACGGCATAGACGACAATCAGTTTCGAGCCCAAGAGGAGTCGTAGGTGGCTAGCATACTCCGCCCTCTTAGTTGTAGTCACTGTGATAGTAGCCGAAAAGCGAGGGCCGACCACTTCACTCTTTCTTCCTTTCTTTCATTTTCTATTAATTCCCGGGACTCCCTTTCAACTAAGGTAGCTTGGCGGCAAGAACTCATCATTCTCGTTTATTCCCTGATGCTTTCACTGCGCTACAATAAAAGGTCATGGAAGCAATAGGCCCCAGCACATATCGAATCTCGCACCATCCACCACAACACGTCACACGAATCCATCTTCAGGCCAACCATGGCGTCGCTCAACACCCTCGCAGACGAACTTCTGCTTGCAATAGTGTGATATTTTAACCCTGATCAACGTGCACTCTCAACCTTGCTGGGTTACCGACTATAATCAGTTTGTGCATGGCTTCCGGAGCACTACCGTGGAGACACTCATCATAGATACGTCGCAATGGATAGTTACGCATTGGAGGACATCCAGCAGCGCACTCGCGCAATCCAGCCCATCCAATCTCTTCACCAATTCTCCAGTCTTCGCCGAGTTGTTGCATCCTAGGAAGCATTCTTGTGCGTTAGACAACCTTGCATGGGGAGTATATGGGCGTTCTTGGAAAAGTCTGGAATTGAGGTGATCGTGCACGAAAAGGAGCAGGAGCTAAGTTAGAGCCAAACTCCTGTCTCGCAGCCGGCGCCAATGTCGCGAGTAAACCGGATTTTGAGAGGTTCAGGGGGCTTTAAATGGAACAAAAACTCTTGGAGATATGTGTGTGTTTGGAAAACCTTCTTTCGGTCCTCGTAGCAGCCCTGGTGGTGAACGTCTCCACTGTAGTCTCTCAATATCTCGATGTCGATATCGATCGTCATGGCCAGGATGCACTCCGACTTGAAATAGGGACAACGGATCTCAAGGCAGTACACTTCGCAGGTAGAGCGTGGCAACAGAACGAGAGGTCGCCAACCCATTTCTCCCCTCCAAAGCCCATATTCTCTCAACGTATCATCCTTCACCCAAACCGCAGCCTTCAACGACTCTCCGTCTAGAACCACTTCAACTCCTTCACGCCTCTCTTCTCAAACCCCAACCTACGAAGCACCCCCTTACTCCCCTCATTATCGTCATAGCAAAACCCTAGAAACTCCTTCCTGCCCATCTCTTCCTGAAGGTTCTTCATCAATGCGGTCGCCGCCTCCGTAACATACCCCTTTCCTCAGTGGCGCTTTAGGAAGGAGAAACCAACGTCAGGAATTGGAGGGGTGGAGGACGTCTTTCCAACCTTCATAGAAACAAAGCGGAGCTTGGTATGGTACTCAATAAGGTTGGAGAAGGGTCGGACCTGAAGTGATAGGATTGTGTTAGCGGATATATAAAGGCGTCATAACTGAAAGAGCAAAAGGATTGGATCCTTTTGCTCCGGATAGATTGCTATGATCGGTTTGAGCCTTGAGAGTAACGAGTTATATGCCGTATCCGGTGGTGAGGATGCATTCGCGACTGTCTTCAAGGTTCTTGCATGCCGCTTTGCGGTCTTGCATTGTGCTTGTTATCCTCTGTTGCCGGCCATGGAAGCTGCGCTCTTGTGTACCCCGACGAGGAAGTCGCAGTGGGAGTCGAGCGCTGGGTTGAAATGGAAGATGATTAGGTGCGGGGTATAGATATAGAAGTTGAATTCGGACATTGCGACAAGTCCAATCGCATCTAGGAGGTCGTGGCGTGAAATATACGACTGGTCCCAGCCGTGGGAGGGTCGGGAGGCTCCAACTTTATGCACTCTAAGGATTCAAAAAGTGCTTCATTGCGGGTTATTACAACGCGGCTCAGATTCCGTAGAAAGCCGGCAAATTAAGCAACGGACCGAGTAGAGACATGGGTTAGCTTCTATTTTATTGCTCTGTTTACCACTCTCTGCACCTCATCCCGCTCACGGCCGCGAAAGCCGAGCCTCGCATTCAGACAGCATACCAAGAATCGCATGGGCTTCACTCGAGAAGTTGCCCTTTTCAGCGTGAACAAAATCCCGGGAATCCATGTCCCATCCCTCCATCTTCTTGTCTTCCGTCACGGTGTCCCCCATCATCAAGCAACCATCCTCGCTCAGAACGAAATCACGAGCACCGCGTTGGAGCAACAGCAACTCCAGGTCGTGATGCGTCTTTTCTACATACTTCGGGAATCCCTCGCCGAACAAGTTCACATCCATTTCCCAATCCATATGCCCAAAGCCGGACTTCGAATGACGTAAAATGTGAAGTGGACTCCAGCGACACTTACGTATGTCGTCGGGGGAGATTTGCGGAATATCTTTCCCTCCAGGGTTCCCCAAGGCATTTGGATCGGCACCAGCATCTAGCAGTATCCGCGCCCCTCGTTCGCAACCGTGCAGCGCTGCGAGCTGAAGGGGTGTCAACTTGAAGCCGGCTCCGTTTGCATCCGCGCCGTTGTCCAAAGGACGTCTCAGTGTTCCCTGGATGAACTCTTCATGGTTGTCCCAGGAGTCAACATACGAGAAATAGTCTAGATGCAGACACGTCCCCACGGATAGCATAAGGAAGATGTCTGGTTGCAGCCTTTGGCCCATGACGCGGAAAAGAATTTCACGTCCCTCCTGGTCGATACATCCGACCATCTCCAAAATATTGGTACGAATATCGTATTCTTTGTCAAGACGATTGACAAAAAAAGAGGCACTCAGGACGGCCTCCAAATCAGGTTCGAGTAAATATTTCTCGGACATTCGATTAAAACCCCCTAGTAGCATACGAAGCAGGACAAGCGCTTGTTGCTCGACGAGGCATTCCGGCAGTTCGTGCCAAGACCAATCGGTTTCAAGACCAATAAATAAAAGGGCTCTTGAATAGCTATTGGGTGGAAATTTGGGTTTGTTCAGAAAGCTGATTTGAAGTTTCCACAGACTCTCGTCCTCCGTGATGAAGTCTTCAAAGGAGTAGGGCGCGATCCGTGCTGCTTCACGGCAGTAGTCGGAGAAATCCTCGTGAAACCGGTCGCCTGGCGGCATAAAGAGATCCAGCGTCAAACAGTGGCCAAAAACGTCGCCTAAATATTCGCGAATAACATCTTGTCCGGACAAATGGAAGTACGAGATGTCGCTGTCAACAAGACGGTTGGAGAACAGGAATTCCTTCACGGTATAGTGGGCGAGACGGGTGGCGCCAAACTCTATCACACTACCATATTCATCGTCTTCATCGGGCTCATATTCCACTAATGATGTGTTTATGAGACAACTACAGATTTCCTTTAGGTCGTCGTAACCCCAGGAGAGTAGATTGTCGCTGGAGAAGACCGCGGAAGCCAGGCAACTATTGGGTATCCCGTGGCGGAAACAACTCATCTCGTGCGCTGCAGTCCATACAAGGGCTTTCCTAGCGTACGGCCACTCGTCTTTAGGTATGTCGCGGAGGATTCTTTGGTAGGTTTCATCCAGAGTCTCAGGGAGCTCTTTGAGGGCTTTCCTCATCTCGGACTCGGTTCTTTTCCACTGCAGGATGTACATTTGGCAGGCGACCCAGCGGAACCTATGGACATCAGCATATATTGAATGTGAGAATATCATTGG